GGACGGCTTTAAATAGGCGTCCAAGGGCAGGGTTTAGGCAGCCCAACCGGCACATGCCAGATTGGCAACTTCATAATGTTCAGATGTTCGAATTCAAACCCTTCCCGTGAACCCCGTTTTGTTCCGCGAGTCACCCTGACTAATCCCAGCGTCATTCTCGCCCAACCTTAGTGGCGCACCCCGTGGGTCTGTCCCACGCGCCTTGACCCTGAACGGTGCCCGGCTTGGTGTGCATCTCACACCCCATTCCGTCTATATTAAATATCTATTATACAATCCGTGCCCGTTTGGCGCGGCTCAGAAACTAATGATGCAATGACTACCCATGCTATTATACAATGATGTTCCCGTATTGTACAAGTCCCCAAACGGCTGCCCTCACACCGCAGCTCAAAGAGGGCAGGTGCCCTACACCACCAATCTTGTTATATCAGATTTGCCGAAATCGACAATTTTTGAGCATTTGAGGGGAATGGGTGCAAGAAAAATGGGCAAATGGATCAAGCCATATCTCACACAAGAGAGAGACATGCTAGGTTACGCTGGGTCCTTGGCCACACACGAAAAGTTGGCTAGAAGTGGGAATTTTCCGATTTTGCAAACACGATTCATATCAATGAAAAGTGGTTTTATGTAATGAAAGATGCCCAAAAATTGTGGGTTCTAGTATAGGATGGGCGTCCCAGTGCTTCAAAGGCATAGAGCAAAGCTTTCATTAAGAAAGCGATGTTCTTAGCTACCGTAGGGCGGCACCACAAGCGGCCAAATGGGGCCAAGTTCAATGGATTGATTGGGACCTGGCCATCATGAGGGAGGGTTTTGCGCTATGTTCAAGCAAGCATAGGGGTACTGGAAAGGCAGGATTGAAGTTGGTTACAATGGATAGGATGCTTGGAGGGATATGATAGTTGAAAAAATCTTCCTGGTCATCAGAGATACCTAAAAACACTTGAAGAAACATGTTGTTGTCCAAGTGTGGGGAATGCCACACACAAAATCGTCGATTCAAGCATCGATTGAGGCGGAATGCTCCAAGCAAGGTTACAATATAACTGCGGAGCAGCAACCACCACAAAGTCTAGACTTTAACATCTTGGATCTTGTTTTTTCATTCGTTGCAAGTCTGTGCATCGCAGATTAAGGAGGGAGGAAATCTGCAGAACATTATCAATTCCGTGACGACGGCCTTCTACGATCACGATCCCAGCACACTTGAGCATGTTTGGCACATGCTCTTCCACGTATTTGATGCCACACTTTGCCATGATGGGGGCAATGACTTCCCTGTGCCACATATTGGGACAAAAAAGGCATAAATCCATGGGGATCTCCCCTGGACATGGAATGTGAAGGCACATATTTTGGACAAGGCGAGGCATAGTTTGGGGTTTGCTCAAAGGAGTTAAGACTAAATTTTTTTTCTTAAAAACTAGTAGTTAAAGGTTTTGGGACCCAATCTTTCTATTTTCAAACTCTTTTCATGATTTTGATGTCATTCTTGTAGCGTAATTTATCTCTCAAATATAGGACAATTGGTTCCGGATGGAGGAAGTATTATACTTGGAGGGACCCTCTGGCCCATTCTTTCTAATGTACAAGGCCAATTTATAGCTGGTTTGTCCCATTGTGTTCTGTTATACAATATACCAAACAAACCCTCATAGAACCTCACCCCACGTTTTGCACTCAGAACTCCATTGCCGTCCCCCACTAAAATCCACCGGCCCCAGCATTCCTCTAGAGCTAACTACTTTAGTACAGTAACGTTGCTACTCGAGGTCAGGCATTATTGGCAATTTTTTATAGTGTTAATTAGTCATCTTTATATTTTGCTCTTTTAGTGAGCTTATTTAGGAGCTCTTGACGCCCCTTGCCTTTTGAAATGCCCAAATCTGTTAAGAATTGGCGAAGATATGGCCCTCTGAAATTGTAGTACTCAGGGCTTTAGAAGGATAGGTGCTTGTACTTAAATGAAGGGAGGGATGGGTCGGTCGTGGGTGAATTGGGGACGGTGGCAATGTGCCTGGACACTCATGTATGTTGTCTTATCATGGTGTGATTGTGATGGACCCGCGATCGGGCATCGCACATGCGACAAGTGAGCGCACGTGCTGTGAATCTATGTAACCATTCTAACCCACTCTCTGGCCTCCTGCGAGCCAGTGAGCCACCGCCTTGCTGCGCTGCCACCTCTCACCAACAGCAGGCCCCGGGGATCGATTGCCATCGAGCATTGGGCCCACCGCGTGACCAAGCAATCGACTGCCCCGGATACGCCCATCATTTGAGGTGGAGGAGCCAATTGTCCTCCAACAACCGAGCTGTAGTGTAGGGCGACCCCAGCGCCTCCAGAAACCAACGGCCGCCAATGGGGCTGTAACACGTACCGGTTATCTCTTCACATTGGGATACCTCTCTAGCTATTCCCCCTCTAACTCCCTGAGCTTGACCCACGGTCCACCTGCTTACCATCTGCCTCCGGGCTACCCCCCAGCCATGAAGTCCCCACAACAATCTCCTAGTGAAGTGGCCACAAGCTCGGCTGCTACAATCACACAACCCACTCGTAGTCCACCTCCCAGAAGGCCACTCCGAAAATCCTTCCTGCACTTTCCGTAGACCACGCAATGCCGGCCTGGTAGGCCACCTCAATCTGCACGCCCGACTGAGCCCCCGACTGAACCTCGGTCTGGCGAGTGACCGAGAAGTGCATTGGCAGTGCCCCATGCTCCGAAAGCCACACCATGATGCCCGTCTGCAAATCATGGAGACGGGCACTGGTGACCAGCTCCTTTAGTTCCTATCTTCGGCAGTGCTTTGTGGCTCTCTCTAGCAGGCCGCGGATGTCCTCCCAAAAGTTCTTCTCCAACAGGGCTACAATGCCTCCCTCCATCTGCGTTTCTGCATCCACCCCAGGGCTCGACAGCTCCTGCACCTGCGCATCGAGCTCGTGCATAAAGACGTGCGGTTTGACATACTCAGAGAGTGACGGGAACATGTTTTGGTTCTCTGCCATCTTTTTCCTTCAGATGGTGCACTCCACCCGCCACTCTGGGTGCCCATCCAGCAGATGTGCAATGCGCCACTCAGCCAACTAGCACCCTGCCTGTGCAAGCTCCTATTCCAGCTCACGGAGCCACACAGCGAGGGGTTCGCGACACCCTTGTCATGGAGTTTTGCCTTCTTTCGCAGCCAGGCTCGCAAGCAAAACGGCTCTGCGCACCGTTCCCGCTGCGTCCTTTGTTGCCACATCTCGCGGGTTAAACGGGATCCCATTGACTACCCCTGCACAGGGATCTCATGAATTGCAGTACTGTATGCACATCCCCTATATGTAAGGTGTGCCTATTATCTTTCCGACGTTCTGACTACATGGCGCCCACCTGTCTGACTTCAGTCAATGCAGCCTCATTTCCTTGTTATTTTCTGCGAATTTTGCAGCACTTTCCCGTGCCTATCATGCATCCGCACTGAGATAGATGTACATGCCCCTTTACAGTACCGTCGAAAAATGCTTTTTCTATGACTGAAATGGTGGCATGCTCGGGCCATTCCATTCAGTGAGGTCACTAGTCGTGGTTGTGAACGGTCCAGAACGAGTACCATAAAGGCAAAAAAGATGGCTGTTCATTACAACACATTTTGGGGTAATTCGAACATACCACAATGAACGTAATGCCTCTGCACCATTCTGGCCAAAAGAAAGCACACATTCTCATAGAGAATGTGGGTTGTAAACCCTACTTCGCCCGTCATCACGTCATGAAGCCTGTCTCCCGCAATGCCCCAATAGAAAATTTGCAGCCTATTGTGCATGAATCGCTCATAACTATGGGCCGTGCTCGACACCATCATCATGTGCGTTTAATTTCGGCACGGTGCGCCAATGGCCTTCAGAACATTCCATCTGCCAATTGTCAAATCGCTGTCTACTTGTGTCTCAAACGGACGCCCAGCAGTGATATCTGTTTGGAAGCATTGCATCTGAGAATCTAGCTCGAGAAATAAATGTCCTGTCAAAAGTGCTGCATTCTGGATAATCTGAGTAGCTTCCCTTGCTCGTGCATTCAGAAAATTGTGGCGTGGTAACAGTACGCCCGTTGACTACCATGTGGCATGACACTGGAGAGCGTTGCTCTCAGAGCAACGGCACCAAAACAACGGTTAAGAGTGTGGAAGACATGCTTAACGGTCGTCTGGTTTTCTGGCCACCCTGTGCATGCATGCAACTATGACCGTGCTGCGCAGCCTGTGTGATGCACTGTGAAGTGCACCGCTGTGGTCCCATTGCACTCGATCATGGCACACCGCGAAATTCTCCATCCGTGCCACTACGGCTGGCATAGATCACACCGCAATTCCCTCGGAATACTGTTGCACATTACTTTAGATAGCATGCAGGTCGTCGTGACGCGCTTGTGCAAACAAACAGCAGTACGCTGAACTCACTATGTTCGCATGTTCTCATGTCCAGCTATCTGTGCAAAGAATACAAACAGCAGCAAATTCGGTTGCTTGACTTGTGAAGAGATTCCAGGCAGGCAACCAAGGATGAGACATGAGGCGCAAAACGTGCAACGTCGAAACTTCAGTCCCCCATTGTTCAACGCGCCTTCCAGGCGCTCCACAACAATTGGAGTCGTCACAGCACACAAATTGAATTTCTTACTCCTCCCACAGCTGAAATAATGCAGTCCATGCCCGCACTGCATGCAATGCTTCGCGCCAAACCCGTTGGCTTATTCTCAGACCCACTTCATGCACACACTAATGCAAAAAGAGGCCTGCGCACAAGCGCCACATGACGCTGCGAGTCCCCCCCATGCCGTGCCCTTCCCCATGCTACTGATATCTTCTCACCCCGCCTAGCAGGTGCTACTGTAACATTGTCAAATCTGGCAGGGGGGGCGGAGCGGATGGCCCCACCCCCATGGGCCTACATGTCATATTCACAATATCGAACACCATCTGCCGCCATTCTTTGATGCGGTCTGCCCCCCTCAACTGGCACATTCCTTTGGTGTGGGCTGTTGTTTTGCCTCTGTGCGGGCCGATGGGGCTGTGCATGGCATGCATGCATAATCTATGCTATCCAAGTACCAAATACCCGCAAGAATGATAATCAGTATCAGTGTGAACCATACGAGAGAGTAATCGCCTGGGCATTCGTCTTGGCCTTCCCTGGGGAAGCCTTCGCCACCACCCCCGTATCCTCCGTCGCCACCGTACGACCCCCCTCGAGTGCCGCCACCCCCAGTGGCAGCCTGTGGCGTCTTCATGACGCACACAAAGACAAAGGAAGTCAGAGGCAATCTCGGTGACTACACTCGCCCGAACAGGGACAACACTCCTCCAACATCCGCTAGGCGATTATGGGCACTATCCATCCATTGCGGCTGGCTGGGAGCATTTGTTCAGTTCGTGTGAACAACCCACAGGGTCAAACTGGGAATTCCACAAAGCTGTTGATCTGTGGCTGCAGAAAGAAGTACATACTGCTTCAGACCCTCGTCAATCTATCATGCCATAGCATATCTGGCTTTCACAGCCTTGCTGCTAGTCAATTGTGGGATCACTGGAACACGTGCATAACCAGACTTCATTTCTGCAGTTTCAAGTCCTCAGAGCAACAGCGTACAGCTGCGTTTTGTGGTCTCCAAATGATAAAGTGTTCACCACATGAGCTCAAGTTGAATGCCTTGCTCTCAAGCAGTGCTGGTGACAATTTGTTGAAATGGTGGCAGCCATGGTTGGACATTACACTGTAATACTATCATACAGGTATGGTACAGAAAGTTGGGTAGCACAACAGACAGTACTGGACAAGGTCTCTGCCACAAAAATCAGCAGCACAGTTAGAAAAGGCAGTTTTGGAGGCTGCAGCATCTCAAGTACTGAATTTCAGTTTGAGTGCACTTGGAACCAGTGAATCTACTACAATCCCACACTTATACCTGGATTATGTATAGTCCACAACAACACATTTATCTTGCCACACTGTTCCATGCATTCATTTTGCATTATATAGCTATGCTCTATTTGTGACCCAGCTCTTTGTTCACTTCTCTGCAATGACAGCACAACACACAATTTGGGGAAATATGCTAATAACCTAAAGATGCGGAAATCCCCACAGCCAGACAGCCAGACAGAAGGCCATTCCACACAGCCATGCGATGGGTCCAATGCACGTGCATGGCTGGACGCTAAGAAAAAATTGTCGAGTCGCAATTGACATGGAGAAATAATGCAAAACCTCGATGCCTCTGCAGTGCCTCAAACGGTTTCATGCAGAGCCACAGAAAATGCTGCACGATAATCAGCAGCACAACACCCTTGACATCGATCTTTCAAAGTCACAACGGCCGTGTCTGCCCTGGTGTTCCAGACAGCCCCAGACACCAGCGACTCACGGCTTAAGATTACACGTTTCCCCAGCCTCAGCAGTGGTGCCCTGTTAGCACTGCTCCACTGAAACATCGGGCAAGAGCTATAGGCCCACACAACAGAACCCACCTTGGATGGCTCTCTGGACGATGCATTCGAAAGCTTCCTGGGTGAAAGGTTGTAGGGGCCACCCAGTGCACCTCCAGACACCTTCGTCATTTTGTCTGCTGGGCCTTTTGCCAGGCTAACAGGGCTCCCCACAGTCTCCTTCACCAGCTTTTCATAGACCTGTCCTGTGGGCGCCTTCTGTGCTGGGGCTGTCGCTGTGCCAGAGCTCTGCTGCCCATATCCCTGGGACTCTGTCTTCTTCCCAACTATCACAGCAGGCTTCGGCGGTGCCACTGTGGCTGGTTTTGGAGGTGTTGTGGTTGCTGGTGTTGGCAACACCTCCTTTCTGAACGTGGAAGCCATTTGCTTCAGAGGTGTTTCTTTCTTGGCTTTGGGCTCAGTCTTTGTCCCAATGTCAGCAGACTTCACAGCACTGTCTTGGCTGGAATCCACATCCTTGGCCTTGGGAGCCTCCAATTCAGGTGCAGGACTACCCACGCCACGTGCTGTTCCTCGAACATCTTCCGTGGATGGCCCAGTGCCATACTCACCAAAAAAGCTCTTCAGAATGGGCACCTGGGCCACATTCCCAGCCATCTTCTCCCCATCCTCAGGCTTTGCAGGCTCCGTCTCAACTGCAGTTGAGACAAGATTGTCCTTTTTCCCAGTGCTCACCAAACTCTTCAGTGCCCTTGCATACCCTGTGCTTTCAGCCTGGCCATCGGTGGCATCAACATCTGCCTCACCTTCCTCTTTTCCAGCTTCTTTCTTCCCTTCCTTTCTTCCAAAGAATGACTTCACAATCGGTACTGACTGCATAAATGAAAACCTCACTTTCTTCTCTTCCCTGGGTACAGCTCCTGGTCTGCGTTTCGCTGGTGTTTTGGTCTTCAGAATGACTTCTAGTTGATCTTTCGAGCCCCCAATAATTTTTATCACATCAGATGTCGTCGTTTCTATCCCAGACCCCACGGACTCTGCCAAGTCGTAAGCCCACTCGCCCAGGGAAGCGCCAGAGTCAGCCACAGCTCGTTCAGTTTGGCTGGAGGCCTCCAGTGCTTGTGGCCACCAGGTGCCAACCCACTCCTTCGCGCCCAATCGGATGGGGTCTATCATGCCCTGTGCAAACAGCCACAGCCACACAGCTACCGTTGGGGTCTTGCATCACCTTGATTGGTTGAAAGGTGGGAACGATCCACACGCATCATCTGACTGGATAGGGTGGCACTCGTATGCTATAGCAGTTGGGAGCGAAACCACAGCATATCGTGTATGAGCAATAGCCAACCAAACATGTGGCAACAGCAAAAGCGTAGGTATGCATCAACCATTGAATAACGACCTCCTAAAATGTTTTACAGTCAGCCTCCAGCAGCATCATGTCCCATGTAAGTCACGCATTTTGGGCTTTTGGGTGGAGACGGTACGGTAGGATCCAACAGCCAAGGCAAAATCTCGCCACAGCCCACTGCCCTCATAGGACCTCTGATATGCGAGTGCTGCAAGTCCGAAACAGCTTCGAAATGGGTTTCAGAAAGATCTCAGTGTCACCGAAATACAGCTTTGCAACAACTCAGATGATAAAGGGAGTCCACAAAGATATGGCAAACTTCCCACGCCAATAGAATTTTGAAGGATCTGCGCTCTTCGTCCCCCATTCCGACGTCGTCCCTGGTACAGGCCAGGGCGTGGGCTGAATGGGGCATTTAGGGTTTGAGGGTTGTCTTGCTGCTGTGCAGGAGCCCTGCCACGTTCATTTCCCAGCCCAGGGGGCGCGATAACGCTTTGCGCTTTAGATGGGCCTCCTTCCCCACCGGCAACGTGGACTCGAACTTTTTCCTGGGCTTGGCTTTCGCCGGCGCTGGCGGGGCCTTGCTCGCCACAGGCTCGGCTGTCGCGTCGCCGGATCCTTCGGCTGCCGCCGCATAGGAACTGTCGGCGGCCCGTCCGTTCCCGCTGGGCCCGGCCTTCCGAGACTTGGCGCCGCGCGGCAGCTCCTTCTGAGCGAGCTGCGACGCCTTGTCGGCTGCCTACAACACGGCAAGTCCGCATGTCGGACGTCAGCACTCCACACATCAATCAATCCGGCGACCACAGCGCCCTTCCACCGCATCACCCTCCCTCGCGATCCTTCCTCCCGATCGGAAGCGCTGCGGGCAGGCTGCGGCAAGTGCCACAGCCGGGCGCCTTTCGGCCCTTTCTTCCCGCCCCATTCTCGGTCTCTGGCTTACAGAACCAGGCGGACGGTTTCAGAAAAAGCAAAGTCTGCCTGCGGATTCGTGCCCCAAATCGCCTCCAAGGCGCAAGGCCCACGTCCTGTCGCTGGGTACAAAAATCCCAGCAATCGAATCCAGCCGCGTCCATTCTGCCCTCTTGGTCCGAAACCCGATCCCACCAACAACCCACCGTCCCCGCGCCCTCCACCGCCTTCACCGCCACCGACACCGCCACTGCTCCCAGGCTGTACGGCTTCATCAGCAGCTCCGCCACGCCCTCGGCCGCCCCGTCCCCATCCTCCCCCACCTCCTGCCCCCCCTCCTCGCTGCCGTTGCCGTAATCGCCCCCGGCAGCGCACAGGGCCAGCCGCGAGATCGGCATCGGCCCCGGGCGCAGGGGCGCCAGCCGATGGGCGATCCGCCGATTGGGCAGCCCAGCCGCGGCCTTGATCGGCCGGCACGCGTTAGATCGAGGGTGCGGCGTCGCCAATCGCACGCCCCGGCACAGGAAGGGCATGCGGACTCCGGCGTCTGTCGCCATGGCAGCTGTTGGCTGGGTAGGGATGATTGGGAGGGCGGTGGGTGTGGGCGTGCGCAGTTGGGCGCTCTTGGAGGCGCGGGGCTGCTCCAGGCGAGGGGCCCCAAGCGGCCGGACGCTTGGGGTGGGCGTTTGCCTGTGGCTAAAAAGCGCCCAAGCGGTCGCATTTTAAGTACTTGGGCCGCAACACTGGGCCCATGGGCCGCCTTCTGGGGTAGCGGGTGCGCCGCCTTCTTTGCGCTGTGCGCTGGGCTAGTTCTGCGGGCTTTGATGGCGGCAACCCTCGTGATGAGGAAAATGAAATGAGCAGAACTGGAACCGCAGAAGAAGGGATTCAATCAGCGACGCGTTTCAAACGAATCGAGAGGAATCGAAATGGGAAGAGGCAGAACAGCACAGGCCAAGAGGAAAAAGTGGGGAGTCGATGTATAATCCCCCCCGCTTCCCCTCGCCCCAAACGGTCGTCGTGGCCCCGTACTATGTTCAGGGACCTTCGAAAATTTCGGAAGTCCGTCTCCGTTTTGTGGCAATTGCCACAGCATGAAGGTGGCCTGCCCCTCGCCCTCCCAGGAAGAAAGAAAAGAAGAAAAGCAGGCCGCCCGGCCCCAAGGCCCGCCTGGATCAGCGATGACAGAGCTGAGTCAAGCGTGTGTTGCTTGTTTCAATTCCCTCAGCTTCTACACTGTCCAGGTTGCACGCCGCTCCTACAGCCCGCCATGGGGTCCGGCAAAAAGACCCACAAGAGGAAGCGCAGACACGGGGACGCTTCGGACTCCACCTCTGAAACCTCAGGTACGAGCGCTGAGGCTCAGGGCCGCCGCCTTTTGGAAAGAGCGCGGGCCAATGGCGTCGCCGCGCGTTGTGGCGCGCTGTCCCTGTCGCGCCCGTACACCATCACATCGTCAGTTGTGCCGTGGAAAAGAGAATTGCAACCATTCTCGCTCGAGATGGGATGCCCGCTGCGTGACGTGTGTGTCCTTCGGTTGAGAAGGCAACCTTCTGTGCTGTGCGCCAGAGGGATCGGAGGAGGAGGAGGCGAAGAGGAAGAGCAAGAAGGCGAAGAAGGACGGCAAGGTGTCGGGCTGCTCGTCGGCTAGGAAAGCTCTGTTCTGTCCTGTCCCTGCCCCCCGGATATGAGGACGTCACTCGGAGCAGGTTGTTGAGCTTGTGCATGGACGCCCTCAGGCTCCTGATTATGGGCAGCAAAATTGCATTTTCGTTTCATCGCTGGGTTGTACTTTGGCGAGGATGCGTTGCGCAGCGCCGGCTGCCGCACAGGCCAGAGGTTGGACGGAATGGTGTGCGTCCGCTTCACATGCTGCGGCTTTGAATGTGTGTCGGGCGCGAACTCATTTCAGGATGTGCCTGTTGCCAGAAAAAGTCCCACAAGAAGCACAAGCGTCACAAGAAGGAGAAGGACAAGGGCCCCGAATATAGCGGAGGAGCAGAGAAGGCCGTCCAGAATCCAATATCGGCAGATGACTACTTCCTGAAGCACTCTGAGTTCGCCACATGGCTCCAGGAGAAGAAGGGTCTGTACTTCAATGGTGGGTAATGGTTCGCCGGCCACTGGGCCCTGAATTTTTGGTCCACCAAAGTCATGGGAATGAGCAGCCCGTTTGCCACTCGCTTGCTGGCAACAACGTGCCTACAATCCTGAGTTCTGCTTGATTTCGTCCACCTTGCATGCCGTCTTGCCCGCTTTCTCTTGGAATTAGCGGCTTTGAGTTGATCTTTCAGTTGTGCCCATCGGCCCTTCCCAACTGCAGCAACCTATAAGAGCCAATCAGTGCCTCCATATATCAGTGTCTCCATGCTCTGCACATCCTTGTACCCTTTGGGTGTTGGGCTCCTTGACCGTGCTGTGCCTCCGATTTCATTTGTTGGCAGTCACGTGAATGTGTGCTTACTCATTTCACAATCGCAAACAGCTCGTTCCGCCCCATCGCAGAACCAACCAGAGTCCAGAAATTGCTTTCTAAACCGAAATACTTGCTTGAGCCAGAGCTATCCTGCTCTTGTTCAGCCTGATTACACAGCCTGCTCCGCCTGTTGAGGTAACGTCTTGGCCATCCATGCAGAGTTGGCTTGTGTGCTGAACTGCAGAGCTCTCTGGAGACGAATGTCGTGCAAAATTTGAGGACTTCGTGCTCCGATGGAATGCCGGCAAGCTGGCAGACAAGTACTACTTAGGGCTAGGGGCAGCCCCCATGAAAAGAACACAGCATAAATGGAATTTTCAAGGCTCAAAGGCAACGGGCCATGAAGCTGGCAGGACAGTGGCTGCTCCTGCAACGGGAGATCAGAAGGGCAGGTACTGTGTTGCTGCAAGCAAAACTTGCCTTCTGAACCTACGCTTGCATGATTCGCCATGGTTTGCGTGCAGCTGAATGGAGAACATGGCACTGTTTTGGTCTTTTCCTGAAGTCCATATGTTTTGGTAGTTTGGGCTGTGGGGCACATTAGCAGTTGAGCAGACATAGGGAGTAATCAGATGCAACAGACAGTCAAACTGCAACAAAAGGGGCAATTCACTGCACAAGCAACCAGTGTTGGGCACCACTCATGAGGGAATTGGTTATGAACTTGATAAAAGACACTGAGTGATTCACCGATATGGTGAAGCCTTGGCATCTGTTCAGGACAACAGGTTGAACTGTTTTGTCAAGGCCAAAGGCTTGCTAGTCGTTGATCAGATTGCTCAGAGATTGAATACCTAAATGCGTGGTTTCACTGTTGCCTGGTGGTGTACCCCAAAATATTCTATACAGGGGATCTCCTGGTGCAGCTGTGCCACTCGAAACCGAAAAGGTAAGCAAGGAAAGGAATGTAGAGGACAAGAGACCCTGTGTGTCACAACAACAACAGTTGTGATGCATTGCGTACCATCAAAATGGTGGCCAGTGCCAGACCAGAGGCCATCACACTGGCTTGCACAATGTTCTTGTCACTGTTTGTGCCCTGCAACGATCTTCAGAGTGATCGACTGTGCCGCAGGTTGTAGATTGTAAGAAAGGCATGGTCAGCATTCTGTTGCATGATTCACTTAGCAAGGCAAGAAATTATACTTCCTCCGTCCCAAAAAGTTTGGTAGTTATGATTTGGGGCCATGGAAAATCCCATCAAAGGATCTCCAACAGCACTCAAATTTTGACCAGATGCTAAAGTTTGTGTCGATTTTGACCCATCAAGTGTTTGGATCATTCGGCTAAGTACTGAGGGAGATGTGATCCCTCTGACGCGGGCACGTCAGACCAAGGGTCGTCCAATTGTCGTTGTGGCGCAGAGATAGGCAAGTTTGTCGATTACATATTTTAGGGAGCATCAACGTCCCGCCCTGCACCTCTCCAACTTTACTCCGATCTGCAGGCCGAAGTGTGTGCGCAACTCTAGTTTCTCTGCGATGTTGTGAGGGCTCCAAGTCACCATGTTCACGGGCCGTTTAGGGCCACCTGGAGATTTGGTCCCACATGCCCATGTACGAGGGGCCATATCTCACTCAATACTTGACCGAGTGACCTAAAATTTCGTGGGTCAAGATTCACACAAGTGTTAATATCTGGTAGACTTTTGTGCACTATCAGAGATGTTTTGATGGGTTTCTCCATAGTCATAACTGCCATAATTACCATCCTTTTTTGGATGGATGAAGTAACGATTACCAATATTTACTAATGATGACCCATGCTCGAACAGAAGTCATCTACAACTTCCAGTGGACCATTTGAAGTGTTCCAAATGGTCCAGATTAGCTGTCAAAGTGCCCCAAGCACTGTAGTTCTGAGCCACCTTGAGGCTTGCCTGACAATTTGTCTGACATGCCTGTGATTGGGGGGACATATCTCCCTCAGTACTTAGCTAATTGATCCAGAAATTTGGTGGAGCAAAATGAACACAAAGTTAAGTTCCTGGTCAAAATTTTAACGCTATTGAAGATGTTGTGATGAGATTTTCCAAGGCCCCAAGTCATGACTGCCAAACTTTTTGGGACGGAGGTAATATGCTGTTTAGGCAAGGTGTTCTGCATCGTCTCGACACCCAAGACAGGGTGCGGACTAGAATTGTGGTGCTTTGGAGCAGGATTACTCAACAGCGGGCTGGGAGGCGATGGACTCTCATAATTTTTCTAGTGCACGGCTGATTTGCACAAGATTTGCAATGCTTGTTGCAGTTTGATGGCTCTCATCACCAGCTTTGCAGCTGGTGAGAAAGAGCAGTATCATGTGTCTCTTTTGCTTCACTCAGAGATTTTTGTGCCATCGGTGTCTGCAATGCAACATAAAAATTTTGGGTGGTTGGTGGGGGCAGCACGGCTGTTCATAGCATACCATGCTATCTTCTCTGTGAGAAGGATCATTGGTGACATAAATGAGAGCGTTGCTTGTAACTGGGAAACTTGAGACAGAGAGAACTGCAGCAACATACACACGGTGGGCTTGATCTGCAGGCAGACACAAGGGCAATCAAGCGATGTGTGCCATGATTGCTGTTGACGATCAGTGTTAGTATGTTGTCTTCACGCATCGTGGGTGTGCCACAACAACAGTTTACAATTCGTTTTGGAGCAAAGACCCTGATGCACATCTATTTGAGGAAATCCAATTGGATACGTAGGGTCTGCCCAGCTGGGAAGAACTCTTGCATTTTTCTGCTGTTGCTTTCTATCCCACATTCATGCACTCCGTGAGCAGGACATGGGCCACATTCAGCGAATGTGCAATTGAGTGACTCAACAGGATGCTGCAGGTGACCTTGTGCTGAGAACACTGCCTGTTAGGACTGTTGGTTAAATCGCTTGGGAAGCTGCAGTATCTCTTGATGGTCACCTGCCATGTTTGGCATTTGCCGTTCCTGCACCATGCAGCAACGTCTGGAACACAGGGACATAAGCAGCCTTTTATTGCATATAGGAGGGATGCAGATAGAACCACTGAGCGCATTGAGAAGCGGAAATGGCGCAAGGAGCAAGCTGAGCTTCTGGATGAGCTATTGCCGAAAGCATCAGGCCACCAAGCTCAGATCGAGAAGAAGATCGCCAGGAAGGAAGCCAGGAGGGCATCAAGTCCAGATGCACTGGTGGCGATGGGGGACAGGGATATTCTAGGTGGCACAGACAGCTTCGAAGCGGCAAAGAGAAGGTTAGAATGGAGCTTGAAGTGCAATTCTTCATGCAACTTGCCATCGCTCAGCGGCCGTCTTGTAGCATGTGCCAACATATCCAATGTTCATATGGCACATATTTCTGAAGATTTTGAGCTTGAAATAAAACGTTATGGCTTTTTGTATCCAGCGACATTGAGGGTCTGGGTGCATTTCAACAATCAGATTCGGGAGGATTGTCAGGATATCCATGGGCTGCCGCCGAGGCACCATATTGTGATGGGAATGCTCTTATTCAGCAACGGTCTGGGAGAGCTACTCCAACTACTGTCTGGTGGCAGCCAGATTTCCATGGCTTCTGCTGTACTGCTGGCAGAACTCCAGGGTGAATGATTGTTTCAAGTGCAGAGGGGGGTTTGATCCTGATCGAGTGGTTTTCACACTCTCTCGCTCGCTGTGAAGATGGTATAGGCACCTTCAAGTTGATGATGTGCGCACAAACGAAATGAGAACACACAAGCCCATGGCTTGAGGCTGCCAACGCTTTTCCTGCTGCAATTGAAGGTGCTGTTCTTAGCAGATTCGACGCATACAATCAAAGCGGATCAGGCATTCGTTATCTGCTGCTGTTTGCAGGCAGGAAGCATGGCGCGAGCGCAAGCAACAACGCACTCTCGCACGGCGGGAGGAAGCGTCCAGGAAGCTCGCAAGCTACCAAGCAGCGGAGGACCAAAAAATGGATCAATTTCGTGCGCTGATTGAAGCCTCTGGAGGTGCCATCAAAATACCCAAGCGTGGGGACGCATAGCAGACAAGATCGCGCGTGTGTTCATTTGCGACTTCCGGACTAGATCCTGGAGCGCCCGTGACACCTGCAGGGCGATGCTGGGCTCAAGGGCGGCATCACCATATGCTGTTTAATTACTCATGATCTTCCTGCACTACCGACATGCCTTGGGTGCAGGAGATTTCCCTTTTTGCAGGCCCAAACGTTGCATCACATTAGGAGTCCAACATGCGGGCCATTTGCCGCAGCCCCCAGATCTGTAGAGGTGAATTAAAATCAGAATGAAGTCGAAGCTCCATTCAAATTGAAAACTCCCGTTTCCCATCGTTGGCGTAGCGCAGAACTGCACCCTTTGGTGAGCGTCTTGCTGAGCTGATAATGTAACAAGAGCTCAGTTGTCGTTGAGTAACTACACCCATTCGAAAGGGTCGCGTTCGATTCATCTGCAAGCCACGACTCGTACCCAACCCGTACAGAGGGTGGCATGCGATGGAGAGGAGCGCAGCCTGGCATCAATGCCTCTCCTAACGCTTGGAGCGTGTCCATACTTAGCACGGACTTGGCAAACCTCACATGGCACCGTTGTGCGCCAGCAAGGTCGTGTCCAGCAGACTGATACTGCTACGATGCTATGACCATGCACACATGGCGCCTCAAATGCAGTGCCCACCAATAGGCATCCAAAAAAGAAACATGCAGCGATTACACATAGTGGCAGCCTGTACTAGCATCTGGTGGCGGGGCGCCGCACAGCCCTTGCTAGCTTTCTGCAGTACTTGTGTGTGCTTACACCTTTGCGTGTCCTATGTGAGCCTTTCACAAACTGGCCGTCCTCTGTTTGATGTGTTGGTGGCCGAAACTATCGGACCTTGGGTCACAATTCTTCTGTTGATCAGCGAGCATCTGTTCAAAGCGATTGTTATTCTACTTACTTGCAGTAGGGCGCTTGCTTTTGGTGTTGGCTCCCGCTTGGTAAATGATGGCAATGGCATCTCCTCATCTTCTTGTTCTTCTCAATAGCCCTTGCAGATTTTGATATCTCTGGATGGTGTGCACAAGGCCCCAGTCCCATTACTGAAATATTTCACCTCCGGGAGTGTTGCCACTTTCTACATGTCCAAGCCACTTGCGCTTCCAGTTTCTTGCGAAAGACACTATGTCGAAATTGTTATGCTTAGCGTCAATTTGATGCTGGGATGGGGGTGGGGGGTGGGCAGACCTGTGACGTTAAGAGATTACGCAATTGCAACAAAATCGGCATAAGTTTGGAAGATACGCAAAAAGCTGTTGAAAAGCGGCAATACACGTATGGCTTGTCTCGAAACTTCCCTTTGGCTTTTGCTCTTCACAAAAGGCCCCATAAAATCTCGATTGGCGGCCATCAAAGCTAGGCCCCATCATCGGCTATGGCATTTTGCATCTCAGTTTTTAGCCCACGAAAATTGCTGTAGTTTTGGCTGTTTTTCTTTCTTCAAAGCATACTAAATTGGCCCCACACCATTAAAGCATAACGAAATCGACATAGCGCCTTCCCTTACACAGAAATCAGTTTGCATCCTCCTACATTCTTGTGTTGGGTGGCTATGCGAATGTATTGTTGCTGATAGTGGAGGCCTTCACCGCAAATCATCAGCTGTGCACCATGTCAGTAGACGGAAAACACGCACCTGATGTTCAGGGGTATGTGGGTGGGCACTGCTGTTGTCCAGACAACCTGTGGGGTGACGGCTGCCACCTTGGTACTGGCAGTTGACGCCTGGGAGGCCTGTGACCTGTTAATCCATAGACTGCATGTGAACATGGGCCCAGTATACAGCGCATTCTGGGCTCACAGGCGAGGAGAGCCGATGCTTGGTTTACGACGGGGAGCCTTGGCGCTCTTTTACAACGTCGGGCAGCAGCCTCGCTTTTCAAGGAAGGGTAAAGACCAACGCTGATGCATATTGGTTGTTTCTAAATTTTTGTGAGCAAGCGAAGCGAGCAGAGTTGTTTTATTGCATTCATGCATTTTTTGCCTATCTTTTCTGTTCTATAAACATTCACAATTATTTTTCAGTCGCGGCCTCCCAATGCGGGTGGTGCCGCGGATGGGATCCCGCTCACCCTCACCACGTGTGAAGGAACCGGCTTGCGGACTGATTGACGTTGGCCTCTTGCCGCGCGACGCAACTTGAAGCAATCGGGAAGAACCTCGCGTTGGCCCCCGACCTTTAGGTCGGACACAATCGCTGCGACCACAGTACTGTAGTACATTACTGTACTGTATTGGTACATCCCCAACGACACAACCCACCCCTCCCCGACCCGAAATCAATGAAAACCGTCACGTTGAGTTCAAGGTACACTCGACACCCACCCTTCCACTGAAGCCGCGCCCCCACGCGCCCACCCGGATGCGCCCTCACGCGTCCAGTTCTTGATCAGTGACAAGTGCCCACGACCAGGGTGCCCCGCCACCGCTGGGACCGATAGACCCCCCGGTAACGCCGCGGACAAACCGAGGGAACCCACAGCCGACTGTCGACGCTTTGCCCGACTTGGATCGGATCCCTGCCTCTCTTTTGCTGGCCCGCAGCGGCCCTCGCATTGAGCGGGAAGGAGTGGGCTGCCCGGCGGGCCGGTGTGACGGCATTCGGCCTCAAGGCGGTGTGGCGATCGCGGGCGGCGGGCGGGCGGCTCCGGCGGGGCGCTTCGCGTTCTAAGGGGCCGTCATCGAGGCGAGGCAGGCCCTGCCCGCGGGGAGTACAGGTTGGCGCCATTCCCCCGGTCGGTGGTCTTCCGCCCGTGCTGCGCATGTTCCCATCTCTACTGCGGCGGGGGTCGGCTTGCTGTCGAACGGCGATCGACCGGCGCTCCCCGCACCGCTTTGGGCCGTGCGGGGGATGCGGCCCGCAGAGCCGCCGGCGGAATGCTCGCGGGCAAGATGGCCGCGGTTGGGGGCACCGGGGGCGTGACAGCCACGGCTCCGGGCCCCTTGCCTTCGGCCGGATAGAGAGCCTGCCGGCGGACCCCGGGGCCTGCTCGACCCCGCACCCCCGTCGTCCGCCAGATCTCCGATACCCATTCACGCCCCCGCGGCTTTGTGAGGGTCGGTCGCACGTCAGTCGGGTGCTGACGGTCCCCCGCGCTGACACCCCCCGGCTCTTCCCCAGGTGTCGAGACCCCCACGTAGAGTCCACTTCTTCGGCGTCTGAAGGATCGCGCCTGGTGTGCCCCACCTTCCGCAATCCGGGGCATGACCGGCACCCTAGCCAAGGCCGACCCCCCCAGCGCCCGGCTCGCCTCCCCCAAGCACCGATTCGACCTCTCCGCCGACAAGTCCCTCACGGTCCCCATGACTGCCGCTCTCTCTTGGCCCGCCGACAACACTAATGGCGGCACGGGCAACGATGTCGTGTTCGGGCCCTTCCCCGGCGGCAAGCCCATGGGCGCGGACCTGGCGATCGACGAGGACCTGGCCGCGCGTGATGCGCAGTCGGACAACGAGGCGCCCGAGGTGTCGCCGTCCGGGACGGACGTCAGCTTCCAGTGCTACCTGGAGCAGGACAGCAGCGACTCGCTGGCGTCGGCCGGGGGGGTCAAGCCGGGGGATGGGCGTGGCGGGGCGGTGGGCAACGCGTCGGGCACGTGGCGGGACTTCCGGGAAGCCGGGGGCCGGGGACCCGGCGGGGCGGACGCCTCGTTCAATGCGTACATGCCACACCTGGCGTACAGCGGAGAGCACGAGGTGGGACCGCAGATCGGTGTCTTGGTTTTTTCCGCCTGCGGGGCGCGAGGGCCCCGCGTTGTCTTGGGAAGGCAGCTTAGGCGAAGGAGTTGTGGGAGCGCGGAATCGAAATCGCAAGGGCCCTGTCCGTCGCGCACCTTTGCATCGGAGGTTTGCATTTTCATGCGAGAGGGGGGTGCTGCTGCCAGCCAGGGCTGGCGGTTTCGGCACGCTGAGCCTGCGCCCAGCTGTTGTTGCTGCGATTACGCGTGCACTTGTTGGTGTTCTCCATAAAAGGGGGGTAGTGGTGCACAAACTCCATCTGCAAATATGACCCACATTCATACCCAATCCTTGGCCTGCCTGTATCACTGATAATGTGCACATCTGCCTGGGCTTGCCTTTGCAGTCAGTGGATTCCATTCCTGGCTCTGATGTGGCCAATCTCCAGCAGTTCAGCCTCAGTGCCACCCTTGTCAACACAGGAGTACTCAGGTTGTTGCAACGCCTTTCATCCACAAAGAAAGGCTAGCCGTGTGCAGCCACCCACAAGGCGTTAGAGGGGTATGCATGAATTGTTCAGAACTGTGTGCCCGTGTCCCAGAAGTAGCGGCCAGACATTACGTTTGAGGTGCGATAGCCTGCAGTTTTCTGGAGCACCCCGAATGGCAACCATGGTCTTTGTACCAGCTGCTCCATAGCTTGTGCACTGCAGAGGTCCTTGTGTTGAGCCTGTTTACCATGTTGGCAAACCCAGGCGAAGATGACAGTGGAGGAATCCATGAAGCAACAGGCCATGGCAAAGCTCACCCCTCGGTTCACCCTAAGTGATATTGCACAGAACCCTGAGCTTGCCAGGGCAGCAAAGCTGGAGCTGGCAGGGCAGCAAAAGCGTTCCGATGGTACTTCCAACCTGTCGAGCTGCGACGCCCAGTCACGTGTGACTGAGATTGAGCATATACGCTTCACAACAGACACAGCAGATCGAGATGCTGGGCGAGAGGTGCAAGCTGGCCTGGAGCAGGTGGATGTACTGCAGAAGCGCCTAGCGGAGGGTCGCAGGTGTGGTGGGAGAATGATGGTGAAGATTGTTATTTGGCGGAAAGAAATCGGATCCTGCAATATCTGATAAAGAGATTATCACGTAATGCAATGTATCATCGCGCATGTAATGCATGGTGTAGGTATATCACATCCTGCAATCAGTGCTCTCATCCAGGGCAAGAAATTGACAAGACTCTTCTATACTTAAGAAGGCAATGCCGAAGTTTCTGAGCCGACAGGAATTGCATGAAACATTAAGTGGTGTTCAACAAGAATGATGGTGTGAGAAACGGAGACCTGGAGCCTGTACCTCGATCTGCCTGAGCATGAAATGGCCACTGCAGGGATCATGTTTCACATCTCACATCTCTGCTGTTTGGGCTGGGTGGGCACTTGCACTGTCAAATGTGATGCAATACTTTGACAGTACTTTGGAAAGCAAGAGCTGCATTGTGCTTCTTGTGCCTATGTAAATCTACAACACATTTTTGCACTCCAAGTGGATGCTGGATGCGGTTTTCTGCCGGGTTTCAAATGCCGTGCGTTGCTTCTATACCTTGCCCAGGTTCATGGCAAATTCTGATTGCATGGCATCAGCTTGTCTTGTGTTGCTCTTGGAAGTGCATTGTCCACTACGATGGCAGGTGACAGTACACTTTTCCCATTCTCCAGATAGTGAGAGCTGTGCTGCATGTCGGATAGCAGAGTTCAGGAGAAGCAGAACTCCAGAATATTATTGTGTGGACTTTGGCAGCTCCGAGGGTATGGTTGCAAGGGAACCTGCAGCAACCTACATCCATTGAGGTGTGGCCAACACTTCTGTCTCACTGAATCAGGAAGTTGCTGTGATTGCAGCGTTTGACATGTACAGCCGATAGGCATATCAGTGCTTCTTGCCTCTTTGTTGCAAAGTCTCACTGGCCTTGTTCCTTATGTTTTGACAGGTCTGTGGAGCAGATGCTGAAGTTCATACAAAAGCTGTACGATGCCAACGTTGCATACTCACGTGCCATGATGGATGCTGCCCGTGCCGCTGTGTCGTCGCTGGGCATGAGCGACAGCTGGAAGTGTGCGAGTGAGGGGATCAGCGAGCTGCCTATGGTTGTGGGAGGTGCTCACTCACAGATCTCACAGGCGCTGGCAGAGTGCACTGCAAAGCTCCAAGGCGTTTTGAAGACGATCAAGTGAGGATGGGGCTTGGGACATTAATGCCTAGTGGTGTTGCGAGTCGTCAGCTTTGTGTGGATGTAGCATTCGCATCGGCCAACTATGTATTAACGATCCTGCTCAGTATCGCAGCAGGCTCAGTATTCTAGCGGGCTGACAGATGCTCTGTTTATTCCCTGTACTTTGTTGGACAGTGTTGTCCACCGGAAAGCCGGACTGACGTTCATCCTGGTTGAGCGCTTGCCACGAACCTGACAACGAAAGTTGGTCTCCACAGAACACTGTCTGACGAGCTGGCAGCAACTTCAGCCAAGATGCAAGCTGGCATAGCTGCCAAGCGCAGTGCCCTTGCCAAGGCCATGGGGCTCCATGAGAAGGCTACACAGGCCTTTGGGGCTTCAGAGGGGCACGTCTCTCGCCCTGCTACCAGGTCTCTCGACAAACAGAAGGATCCCTGGCTGACCGAGGGCCAGCTTGCTGCAGGCCACGCTGACCTGCTGGAGGCGCAGTACGAGCTCAGGAACTACCTGGCCTGCGCGTTTCTGCGCTGCCGGGACGTTGAAGTCAGCCGCCTGCAGGTGACAAAGGTCTCCATGGCCGCCGTGCTGAGGAGCCACGGGCCTGCCTTCGAGGAGCAGGTGGGTCCCTTTGTGACTGAGCTCAGCAGGGTTGTGGGCGAATTCGACCCGGACCATGAGGTGGCAGACCTGATGATCCGCGCTAACGTGCATGAGGACTCCGCCCTCGCCCTGGGCACGCAGAGGAAGGAGGAGAAGACGCTCATGGTGGGAGACCTTTTCTCCAGCCCAGACATCGTTCGGCAGGGCGAGTTGGAGATGTGGGAGGCTGGGGACTCGCGGTGGAGGGGTGGCCACTTTGTCGTCACCCAGTCCGGGTTCTTGTATGGATTCTTGGGCTCGGATAGGCTGGGGCCTGTGCCCACGTGCAGCATGTGCCTGCCCCGGTGTTCCTTCGAAGATGGGGACGCCCCGGTGTTCAGCATCACTGAGGGGGGGACTGGTTGGAGGCGCAGCAAGGGGCGCATTGTCAAGCTCAGGGCACCATCGGTGGACGAATGCTGCGAATGGGCAATCGTTGTGAGGGAAACGATAGCAAGCCTGCAGGCCAGGTGGTAGTGGATTGGGAAGTGTGGAGGTGGTGATGGGGCGATGTTTGGGGCCTGGTGAGTGGCTGCTTTGGAAATGGGCGGTGGTGGGTTGCTGAGGGCTCGTTCTGTACATGTATTATTGTACCTTGAGAAATGGGGGCAGGTTGGGGGGGGCGATGTCGCTGGGGAGTTGGCTGACCCCCCCCGGGGGGTTCCATGATTGGAGGGTCCCTGGTTCCAACTGTTAGTGGGCGTGGTGTCTGTGGTTTAGCATTCTGTCAGAATGTGAACTGACAAGCACTCGAAGAGGCTCTATTCATGGCTTAGCCGAATGGATGCAGCTTGTCAGTAGCTCTTGGCAATCCCCATAGATACTTGGTGCTGCTCTGGTGCTGCTCTGTGTGTGTGGTTATGTGTGCATGGCTCTGTTTTGGCAGATGCTCTCCGCAGTCTTTTCATGGTGCCCTATTGTGAATAAACAACATTTGGCTGGCCTGCCCAATATGTTGAATTCCTGGTAATCGTTGGAGGCAGCCCCAGGATGGGGGGCGGGCAACCTGGGCTGGGTCAGGGCGGCTGCTTCATTGCCATTGCACACTGCTGGGGCAGGGGTGCCAGGGGTGCTGCATGGGTGGATGACGTGCAGCACATTTGTGGCGCGCGGTGGTGGTCAAAGTTGTCAATGCGCTTTTCTGAGTTCTTTGGGTGGCTATGATGCTGTCGGTCATGCTGTCGTAGGAGGGGCATGGCGGTTCAGGCACTGTTCCTCCTTGTGCTGTTCTTCCTCTTGGGCCACGTCCAGACGGGCAATTGGGATTTCTCAAAGAGTTTCAATTTGTGCGAAGACAAAGAGAGCACTGCACCAACATGGTTTGTCGCAAGGAGAGGTGGGCTGGGGGGGTGCGTTGGAGGACGGGGGTGGCTCGCAACATTGCAAGCCAGAAATACGTTTACTCCAGTTTTGGTGTTTTGGTACTGTCGCACTGTAAGTCGAAGATTTCAAGTCGCAGCCCTTGTCCGGCATCCGTGACACAGCAGGTTCACGCCGGTTTGAGCCAAATCCTGGAGTTGATGGCTCATTTCTGAAGGAGCCACCCCACCATGCGCCCGCTAACATGTGACCTGTGCTTGCATGGTGCACATGTTTTTAGTGTGGTTGAGCAGCGCCATGGCCCGCGGTTCGTGTGTGAAGAACGTGGCCAAAGCGACTAGAGACAGGGCGGCAGGGTCACGGTTGGCAGCTACGGCGGTCCCACATGGGGTGACCGCGTGACTGCGAGATCGTTTGGAGTGCGCCAAAGGAGAGATAGCGAGGTTACATGTCTCGAGTGCACGGGTGACCCCAAACACGGGCTCCGAGACAATCGTTCGCAACGCCCAAACAGTCTGTCGCCCCAAACTCCAGCGACCGCTGGCAGCTCTTGGAGCCCACCCGCAGTCCTTTCAGAGCCATTGGCAGACAAACAAGACATGCCATCGGACAGTAGGATCCCAGACCAATGCAGTTTGTGACTTGTGAGCAACTCCTTTAGCCGACACGATGGAGTGCTTCAATCACTATACTGTGCCCTTTGTGGTCCTGTCAGTGGACATGGGTTGAGCCTGTCGGACCAATTGATGGGGCTGGTATCCCGACATGCGATGGCAAGAAACCCGATACACGAAAATGCCCTGTCAGTGGACATGGGTTGAGCCTGTCGGACCAATTGATGGGGCTGGTATCCCGACATGCGATGGCAAGAAACCCGATACACGAAAATGCCAAGGCAGTCCGCCCTAATGCGCTGCTGCGATGCCGTTCTTGAGGCCGCATTTTGCGGAGCTGACTACGCTGTGCTCGGCCGGGTGTGCACTGTGATGGCGGCTCAGAGCCAGTGTGCATCTGGAGCAGTTGATGGTATGGCATACTGATGTGAAGCACGGCAGGATCCCGCTGCCCAGTGTATGTGCACCGGAGGAGATTGCTACAGATGTGCACGTGCTGTTCAATTTGCTCTCGTTGCCTCCCGAAAATGGGCATCACCCAAGCAGATGCCTCATTCTTCCATTCCACGTCCAGGCTTCTGCGTCACGGTGTGTTGCACCGCGTGTGTGCAGAACCCAGAGCACCAAGGCTGGTCGCCGTCCATTACTCATGCCATGATCATGGAGCCCGAGGCGCCACGCCAAGGTCTGGGGCATTACGAGCTCAGGGCAATCATCACATTCAATAATCGGCTGCGTGCACAGATGATGAAAGGCCGGGCCAATGAGAGTATGGGCCTCCATCTGAGGCTCCCCAGCCAACACACACAAACACACACATGCGGCCATCCCCCGCATCCCGCACCCTTGAAAAGTATGCCAGCGTGTATATTACAGTCATAAGCAACAGTTCGCACTTATGTAAAGATAGCTCGCTCGCAAGGCGCGCACCCCTCCAGAACCCCTTATTCGGTCCTGTTGCACCTATTTTATGCGCATCCTTGTTGTCAAGACCTTCAATAGCGCTGCCAGCGGCACGCGGCACCGTTGCTGCATCGGTGCCCACTAACTACACAAGAGGCAGGAATTGCTTCCTGCCAGCAGACCGAAAGGGAACCCAAGCACAAAACAAAACAAGCTTGCTAGTCACCAAGCCCCACGCAGCATCCCACGTGCTTCCCAGCTCGTGCCGAACCGCGGGACATGATTTTCAACTCCTACCGGGAACACTGACGTCCTTCATTTTCGGCAAAAACCTCATCTTCTACTCTTACCTCTCTTTATCCTCCATTTTGCCGTCCTGTCCACAAGGCTCTTAGTCAAAACGACTGGCAGTCCGAAATACACGAATCTGCACAACACAAACCAACAGATTCCCCCCCCTCCCCCACCTCCACCTTTCCAGGGGGGTTTGCCCCACCCCCACTGGCCCAAGCTATTCCCACATTCCGGTGCCCCTATGGACGCCCTGTGCACACAAATCCAGAGACAGCTCCTCCCTCCCGGATCCATGCAGTGCACCTGCAACTCATGGCACTCCGAAGATAGCTTGCTGCTCAAGGCGCTGAACAGTGTCTGGCTGGTACCACCTTCCCCCCAGCCGACAAGCACCCACCCTCAATGACAGCGTTAGCGCACTCAGTCATCCTCGAAAGGGGGATACACGATGACGGTCACCCTCAGGCTGCCCCAGGGCGTCAGGAACCGTTCGATGCTGTCTAGCTGCAGGAAATCATTCCAGCCCCGTCCCTTCTTCTGCTGGAATCGACCGGGCCTGCTGGACCGGGAGGCCGTCTCATCGCGGCCGGGGACCAGGAACTTGAACCGCGTGCACACCACCTCCCTGGCGTCGTAGCACAGGGGTATGCCGCCCACATCCGGCACTCGCTTCTGGTTTCTGAACAGGTGGAGTCGCACCTCGTTCTTCGCGTCGTCAATCAAGAGGCGGACCTGCAAACATGCGCATTTCAGGCTGTGGTTTGTCGCTACATTGCTTGGCTTTGTGCAAAGACTCGCTGGCTGCAGTGATTGTCTATTGCAAACACAGTGCTCCTGGGCTTTCTTGGCAATATTGCCCGCCAGCCGTGCACCTGTGCACCTGCATCACTTCCCTACATTCCAAAGGACAATGGGCCACATTCCTTCTCAGGCACAAAGCAAGTGTGGCCGAAACAAAGGCACGGTGGCCTCTTTGGACATAAGCTGCGTAGTTGCAGGTTGCATTCCGCTACATGGAAGGAAACCAAAGCAAGCTGCTATAGAGCAGCAACAGGGCCAGCAGCCCCATAACCACAGAAGAACACTGGTGACAGAATTCAATATTACCTTCCACACAGAACCTGCATAGAAATGCGGTTCTGAGATGTGCTCTGTGTGGGGCTTGATGCTCATAACATTCTCGAACTCAACTCCAAACCGAAACGATGGCAGCCACCATCGGGAGTACAGCTCCTGCAGCTCCTCTCTGGTGTAGGGATGTAGATTCTTGGGCAGAACTGTGTGCCGTCCTGCCATCTGCACAAATTAGCAGTCTGACTGTCAATCTGCAAGTCAAACACCTAAACCTTGAAGCTACAACATTGATAGAAGCAAGTGGATTCCGGTTACTGCTGGCAAAACGAAGCATTATGGCAGAGGCAAGCAGTAGGAACGGCCCAGACATAGGACAAAAGAACAAACGTCGTTGCCCCTCTTTCTTATCCTGTCATGCAACTCGCCTGGAGTTGTTGCTGTTGTTGTGGTTGCCCCTGTGGCTGCTGCTGTTGCTGCTCTGCAGTGACCTGTGCTGAGTATGCCGTTATCCTCTGGTTCAGGATCGTTTCTGTCCTCATGCCTTGCAGCAGAGCATGGTGAGCCCGGTTCAGTTGCATCTCATACAGCTCGATCTCAATCTTTGCAAGATCTGGCAGCTGAATGTGCGAGTACTTGACCCCTTCCAGGCCCAGGACGTCTGAGACTGCATTCAGTGTGCTGACAACTTCAGAGGCTGCCGTCGTCCTGTCACCAGTCATGTCATATGCAGTTTCCATGATCGTCCCAGAATTGTCAGAAGTCCCATTCTCTTGCTCTTCCTTGGCATCCGCCACCTCTGCCAGGGGCTCCTCCTTCTGCGTTGCGCTGGACAGGTTGGCATCACCTGGTGGCTCCTCCGTGACAGTCTCGAGAAGCTGCCACTCTCTTCCAGAGTCCAGGGGGTCTGTACCAGGGTTGAGGTCACTGGACTGAGCCACTGGCTCATCTGTGGAACCATTTTGGGGGCCCCCGCCCTGCTGCTCACTGTCTGCCTGCATCCTAGTGCTGGGTATGGGTGACACGACGTCCCTGGCTTCTGCAGAGTCCAAAAGGGCATCGCTGGTCGACCCACCATTGTCTTGACTCCTTGTGGACGTCTGCACACCGTCCTTCTGGCCCTTGTCCTGGGTAGTGGTGGAAGAATCCCCAGCGACCCAGGGATCACGTGGCGAGCCCAGCGATGGGCACGACCACAGGGGCAGGCCCCCCTCCCCAGCCGCCGCCTTGCATGCCTCCCGTGCCTCGTAAAATTTTGGGAACAGCACATCCTTGATCAGGTTGAAACGGTCCAGCTCTGTCCTCACCCACAGCTCATCTGACATCAACAGCCTCTTCAGCGCACGCACCTCAAGCTGAGGTAGCACAGGGCGGAGGTGGTCCACACCCATCATGCACAGGTGTCTCCAGCCTGCACGGCGGATCCTCTCTGAATGCTGTCCAAACTCAAGGTCCAGAAAGGTACCATAGTAATGCAGGAGGTTGTCTGGGTGTCGCATATCATCCACGATGAACTCAACGCATGAGTTGCACAGGTCCTGGAGGTCCAAATAGGAGGCGGCCGCCAGCACCTGCAGCACGTTCTTCTTCTCCAGCTCCACACTCTTTGCATACATGTGCGCCAGGGCCACCTCGAATGCCTCACAGGTTATGTTGGGGTCTGGGCATTCCAGGTTTACCACCTGGGCAGAGGCACAACCACAATGACTGCCAGAGCGATGGCGGACAGAACGTATACAGGCAGCCCTCACCAAACGTCAAAAATCTCGCCACCTGGAAGCAGGATGTTGGAAAACTCTATCTTGAGGGCGATGGCCCTGTGGCAAGGCCACACCACTTGGGACTGGCAGGCCTCCAGATTCCCCCAACCCCAAAACTACTTTGCCCTTCAGACGAGCCAAGGGCAACACATTGTCATGCATGCTCTGGTACTGGCCACAAAGTACGCTGAATACCCCACCCCCATCGTAGTATTGGCATTGTGACCATCCAGTCAAGGCCATCTTTCACCAGTCACTAGCAGGCCAACTGGCAGCCAGCCAATGTAGCCATTTAGGGCAACCTGCTTCCTCGCTCACCAACCTTCTGTAAAGGCACTGGTTTGCTTCTGGCAGGTAAAGAATTGCAATCAAAGGGGGTTGGCACACACAGAGGCAGGCTCTCACATGATTTTGCTTGTTTACTCTGCCTGTGTTGGCCTTCTTGCACCGAAAAAGGAGAAAGGACTAATATTCTAAAGAACCGGGGGGTGGGGGGGGTGGGGGGTGGGGTCTTGTATGTCTGGGGCTCACTGTCTGCAAAATGCATTGCTACACACACATGCTGGCTTTGATTCTGTGGTCCTGTAAATCGGAATAGACCCCATCTTAGCTTTGCCAGAGCAGGGGTGCACCGTTGTGTGCTGTGGCTTCTGTGGATTTTCCACATATCTGACACAAATACATGCCCTTGTATCTAAAATTGCAAATTAACCTGTCTTAAGCATGCACCGCAAACGTTGCATGAATGGCTATTTCACCCAGTTGTGACAAACAGGATAGAAGAAGCGAACCTTGTACTGGGCTAGCTCTTTCTGCCCAGGATGCGTTCATTGGCCCTCACCTCCTTGTTCTTCTCCCTCCATTCCCCTTGCAGAAGGCGGTCGAAGAAGGGGCTCCTGCAGAGCACCATCCTGTGGAGGGGATACTCGTTGTTGAAAACCCGCACCCGGATGTCCGAGAAGGCCCCATCGTCCCATCGCGTCCTCAACATGCGGATGAGGTCCTCTCCACCCTGCTGGCTCGGATTGGCCAGGAACGTTGGGTTTGGGGGCCCGGCTGTCGCCATTCTGTGTTTGTCCTGGGCCCTGGAGGGTCAGCAAAGGTTGATTCAGCGCCACCCGGGTGCCCGTCAGAAACGATTGCCCGAGACAGGGAGAATCGGGTCACGCCACGGGCGACCCTGATCTCGCAGGGATTCTGCTCAACCTGGAAATGCAGTCCAAGGGAGCCCAAGGCTAGCTGCTGGACGTAGTCCCACCAACATGCACTGGAACTGGGCGTTGAAAGGGCGCAGGCCACGCAATGGGGCGGCTGCTTCCAAGCAAAGCGTCCGAAGTTCTCTTCCCCATAGTTGTAGGCACACACCTGTGCCTCGCAGCATGATGGTGCCTTCCCAACATGACGCGAAATCCCACAGGGAACGGCGCAAAATGGACCTCCCACGCCGACGCCGGTGACCCAGCCCGGCAGAAGGAACTGGAAGCCGCGCGTTCCGCTCGCTCATCGCGCGCACACGGCCTCTGTGAGGGCCGCCAGCATTGCCCTTGGCAGGATCCCGACCCCCGCAGATCGAAAAGGGTCGCGCCGACGTCGCCAGAAAGGCCTCGGCGGCGCTTCGTGCGCGTTCGGCGGTATCCCCCGCCCACGGCCGGCCCTCCCGACGCGCCCTCCCCCCCGCCGCAGCCCGCCGAGGCGGCCCCGAGCGCCGGTCCCGCGGGCGGTCAGGTACAGGCGGCGTGGGGCACCCCGTCCCGCCCACCCCGCCCCTCCCATCACCGCAAGCCAACAGCGCGGATTGGCCGGCAGGTCAAACGTGCGTCGATCCCCGCCGCACGGCCGGTGCTCTTGCGCGCGGGGCCAACGCAGGCCGGGGCTCGTGTCGATCACGCGCGTCCTGCTACCCGCTGGGCGATCGCCCCCAGCGTGCGGGGCAGCTCGCCCAAGCGCGCGCAGCTCGCCGCGAAGCGCCAGGCTCTCGCGCCGACGCGCCAAGGCAGGGAGGGAGCGTCCGATCGCGGCATTCGGCACGTGGCAGGCAGCGGCGCCACGCAAAGCGAGGGTTCCGACTTCCGGGCTCAGAGCGCAGCGGGCGGGAGAGGGAGGCGCCGGGCCGGCCTGGACACCGGGGAGGGTGCCGGCGGGCGGCGGGGGCCGCTCAACCCACCTGGGTACATGAACTCAGCCCGCGGCGGCCTCCCGGCGCTGCCCTCGGCGCCCAGCCCACCGACGCAACTTTTTGGGCGATGCCTGCGGTCCAACGCCCCTGGGGCCTCGTTGATCGGCTCAATCGGGGTTCATGAGCGAAGGGAATGATCGCGAAACTGGGCGGAAGTCGGCGCCGGGCGTGATTCCCGGCAGAGTCAGCTGATTGGATGACTCATGGGGTGGTGCGTCAGGCTGCAGTGCTGGCAAGCGTGTGTCTGCTTGCTGAACAGTTCCTGTTTCCCGCCTGTTTGCTGCCCCCATGCACGTTTCGATGGTGGTCGCCAAAAGGACTATTGGCCCACGAGAATATATTCGTCGCTTTGTGTTTTCCGTGGCGATCCCTTCTTCTTCCGCTGACAAGGCCAACGCCGGTCGGTGGGTCCGTGTTTTAGGGTTTAGGGTGTCCGAAACAAGAAGGTGTCTTCACGGAAAAGACAAAGCGACTAATTTTGTTAAAATTGTTAGTCACGAGCACCGGCACATTAAAGGCGGGGTCATGACGACACATGGCAGCTGACTGGGCCACGATTAACAGTCATTCAAGATGAAAATGTAAAAAGGGGAGAAGGGAGAGATGAAAAGAACAGATATAGGTTGTCTACAAAGGCACAAGGGAAATTCGTGAGTATGATGTAAACGACATATTGATAAAGCGTCACAAGGTCGTCATGCCTTTACAATTTGTGGTGCCTGACTGGATGCTTGGACAATGGTCGTAGGAAGATGACTGAGGAGACGGCGAGGCAGTCCAACGTCCCACCAGGGCTGCATATTTGTAGATGTGTTGAAAACATTTAGGATATCTGATTGGAGCTCGACTATAAATAAACAAGAACGCTCAGAACTGTTAAGAGAGGTGACATGTCTATTTCATTAAAAGGCAGCGCCGGGAGTCTCAATTTGATAGCCGCAAATGTTTCCGTTTGAGAGCAGCCCCGAGAGTTTGGATTCGACAACTGTGTGAATGTTGGCCCTCATAACTGTGATCTCCCTAAGAGTATGACTAAACAAATGGCAGCAAATATGTGGATAGTATATGAAGGTAAACGGAAAGGAAACATGGGGCAGCGCTGATGGGGGCTGGGCATCATTCAGCTTAAAGTCCTGCAACTCGAACCGATTGAGAGTGATCCAACGTAATGAAGACATACGTTCTGACGTAAGTTGTCGGGGACATTAACCCTAACATGGGTCTATCAAGGCTGTTGGACCTAGAGTCATGCGGCCATGCAATGCAAAGGATACGCAACACTGGTATGGCCATCACAAGTCATCTTATGGCGAGTTTAGTAAAAACTGATTAAGTGTTGTGCGGTGATGAAAAGCTAGTTGAACATGACAGTGGCTCGCCAAGAGCTTGACAGCTGCGAAGGTGACGCCGAAGTGATGAGCCAGGACCGCTGAAAAATTGAGCCAAGATGACTTGACAATTATGCACACGCCAGTGCATTGCACTGGGCAGTGACTACGATTGATGCGACGGGTGGTGCCAGGGCATGGTGCGCGGGGAGAGCTGCGACCACCTGCAACTCATTTTGATGAAGAAGCATGCCTCATGGAGTAGCACATGTGCTGCGGGACGGACGGGCTGATTCTGCAGCCTTGAGACACCTGAAAGGGGAAAGGGGCCTTGGAATACAACTGAAACCCGACGCCAGTCTGTCGCAGGCCCCCCTTGGCTTGACGGAGCGGGAGGATGCCCTTTGCATTAGATCTCGGCGCTGGCCACCTGCTACCGTCCGTGCCGCCCGCTAATGTAGTTTCGATTTTGTCGCAGCACTGTCCGTTAGACAATGAGAAGTTGCCGGTCTGTCCGATAATTACCGGACATTTACAAATGTCACAGCAACAATCCCCGAATGCTCCGGTTGTATTTCTTGTATACTTAAGCAGCCTTTAACTAGTTTCTAATAAATCGCCATAAGACGGCTCATGATGACCATAACAGTTTGCATATCCTTTAAATTACACGGCCACATAACTTCAGGTCCAACCTTCACGATAGGCCCATGTTAGGTCTGATGTCCCTGACAGCTTATGGAAGACCTATGTTATCATTATGTCCAGTTACTTTTAATCGTGTCAAGCTGCAGGCCTTCAAGCTGAACCAAGCTAAACTTCAGCAGCGCCACCTCTTGTCTGTTTTCTGTTCATCTTTGTATGCTGTCCACACATCGACTGCCATTTCTTCAGTCACTCTGTTCACATCATGTGTCAATGAACATAATTTCTGTCCATGTAGCTCTTCGGAATCCACGGCAGGTCTTTTCATGCTTTGCTCATCTGATTATTGCTCGCTCAAGTGTCCCAGCGATATCACTAGGCAGAGCGCTTCAGCACAGCTTATCCATACATTGAGCCGATGCCCTTTTCTCAGTAAGTTTCTTATAGAGATTACAGTTACGGGACCCAACGTTTAAATAGATGCCGAATCCAAACTCTCATGGCTGCTTTCAAACGGAAACATTCGTGGATGTCATACTCAGACTCCCGGCGCTTTTTCAGCATGCTCATAAACGTGCAGCCTTGGTGGCATGGCTGACTGCCTTGTTGATTCTTCAGTCATCTTCCCACGACCATTAACGAGGCATCAAGTCAGGCACCACGAACTGTCAAGACATGACGACCTTCCGACGCTTTTCAATATGCCGTTTATATCATATTAACGATTCTCCCTTGTGCCTCTTGATACAACAGACATCTGTTCCTTTCATCTCTCCCTTCTCTCCCTTTTCCATTTTCATCCTGATTGGCTGTTAATCGTAGCTCAGGCAGCTTTCCTGTGTCGGCTAATATGACTGGAGTGGCTCAGCAGCAGCTGCTCATGGCCAATCATTTGAATCGGCATAATAGCGGTGAATTCTTTGACGCATGTTAACCTGGCTTCTCGCAGTTGCTCAAAATCATACAGCATTGGCACCAAGGAATTGTCTGTTGTTCTTTCATGGGATGAAGGAGGGGGGGGGGGGGGTATAGCAGACTAGTCCAACCACAACAGTGGGGGGGGTCAGCTTGGTTGCATCGGATTTCCTCTTGTGTGTTCTAAATGAATAGGCATCCAGCAAATACTGTCCCAGGAGTGCCATCGACTACCATAGGACTTTAGGTTGGTGGCCTGACTGGTGTCAATTTTATTCCAGTGTTAGAGCTTGATGTGATTTTCTGTCTTGTTGTTACACCTCAGACTTATGCTGCTGCTAGCGGCATCACCACAAATGCTGCCCAGCTTGGGCCAACCGCATCTTTGAAGTTCACCGGAACCTGGGAGATGGATGGGTGAGTGCAGAATCAATTGTGCAGATCAAATGTGCAGTCGCTGATGTTTGTGCACTGAGACCTTCGATTCGTCTTATTGTTGCATTAGAATGGTGAGTGATGGAATGAGCTGCTGTTAACTTGTGCGCAGTGTCGTTAGTCCAGTCTCAAAAGATTTCTGCCTGGTATTGGGAAAGAAAAGACCCAGGGATGGTTATTTCTCCCACTGCTGTGCATATCACGCGGCTGTGAATCAAACAGCAGGGAGGTCGGCAGCTCTCCGGTACAAAACTAGATGGATTAACATGGACGGACATTCAGCCGATGTCACCCAAGCTATCCCTTGCATTCTTTCAGATAAACTTCTCATTCAGCTTGAGTTATCGCCTGGTGAGCATACGACCATTCGAGTTAAATGCCACTCTTGACAAAGGGTAAGGCAGTGTGCATGGACCTGTGCACAGAATCTCGTCAACATGGAGCCTAAAAATGGCCCAACGCAATTGCGTCCTAGTGCTGACTCTTCACACACCTGCTACGGTCTGCCAGGTGCTTAATCAGATACCATGTGCTTGGCTTATGTGCTCATGGCTTAAGTCAATGCTT